CAGCAAGCCAGAGCCGAACTCAGAGATACCGACCATTTCGTTGCATGCAATCAAGGGGAGACACCGTTAAGAGAAGTGAAATGAATATTATATCTCCTCTCTCACAACTGCATCGGCTTTCTGTAGCAACCCGTTGCAGAGCAAAAGGTCCCCGGTGAAGCTGGAAGCGTTACATATTGTCACGATCAGGCTTTGCCTTGTGTGTTCTGTGTGTGTTTTTCTGTAGCTCCTCACTCTACCTGTCAGCCACTCCCTCAGCACCAGTCCAACTCCCTTCACCTGTCCTTGATCAGTAATCAAGCACTCCATCATCAGCACAACTCTCCTCACCTGTTCAAGTCACTTTATAAACCCCTGTCTCTCAGTCACTCACTGCCAGGTCATTGTTTGTGTTCTACCTGCCTGTTTGTTTTGTCCTGTTCCCGGTTTCCCCACCCCTGCCTGCCCTGCCTCGTCCTGCTGGATTTGCCCCCTCGTCTCTTGTCTCGTCCCTGGATTCCCTGTGTGTTCTTGTAAGTGTTCATTAACATCCCACTTCACTCTACTTCTGGTCTGCGTTTGAGTCCTCCATCATGCCCTGTGATAGAATGACCTGGCCCAGAATGGACTCAGCAGACCATGGTTTGGAGTGCCGTCTCCCCGACTGGTACGAACAGTTTATGGGAACCCGCGTGGCCTTTGGAGGGACTTGGAGTGTCCAGAAGGCAGACCGTGACATGATGGACATCCCTTTCAACCCTCGTAGGAGGCAGAGGAAGGGTCAGACTCCCGCTCCCGCTGGGCCGCAGCGATCTCCCGCTGGGCCGCAGCGATCCCCCGTTCCAGTCTCCACTGGGCCGGAGCTTTCCCCCGTCTCCGCTGGGCCGTAGCTAACTCCAGCTTCCCGTGTCCTGTCGGCGATCCAGCCGTCTCCAGCTGTCTCCTCCGTGCTGCAGCCGCTCCAGGCCGCTGTCGTCTCCGTGCCGCAGCGACCTCCAGCTCCGGCCGTCTCCGTGCCGCAGCGACCTCCAGCTCCGGCCGTCTCCGTGCCGCAGCGACCTCCAGTCCCTGCCGCTGCCGCCGCGCTGCAACAACCTCAGCCCCTTACCCCGCTGGGTCATCACTCCATCCCCCTGAGCCCCAGTCTATGGACTCCTGTTACCCGGAGCCCCATCTCCGAAAGTTAGAGCTCTGTTCCACGTCTGATCTCCGGCCTCTAGAGCCCTGTTCCCCGTCTGATCTCCGGCCTCTAGAGCCCTGTTCCCCGTCTGATCTCCGGCCTCTAGAGCCCTGTCCCCCGTCTGATCTCCGGCCTCTAGAGCCCTGTCCCCCGTCTGATCTCCGGCCTCTAGAGTGCAGTCCCCCGTCTGATCTCCGGCCTCTAGAGTGCAGTCCCCCTGATCTCTAGAGTTCCGTCCTCCTGAGCCCCATGTCACGATCAGGCTTTGCCTTGTGTGTTTTTCTGGAATGTTTCTACTGATATTAATCAGAATTTCACAAAACCAGGTCATTTGTTTTTTTGTTTTTTTTTAAATCAATATTCTCTATATGCTGTAATGTCTAAGCATCCCATTCAATTGATTCACAGTTAAATAAAGTTGTTCATCATTTCCTCATAAACCGATTAGAAACTTGCTGAACATGGAGGGAGGGGGAGAGAGTCACCGCCCCTGCCCATAAACACCAAATCCTTGTCTGTTTAATACTTAAAACCCCAATGACATCACTGACATTGTCAGGGGTGATGCCACCAAGCACCTTCATGTAGCCGAGTGGTTATGATGCATACAACTACAACATCCTCTGCCGGATTCAAGCTGGGGACATTTGTTCTCGGTCTCTCTCTCTCTCTCTC